TGAAGCCGAAGGGAAGGTGCCCAGAGGAGCACTCTGCCCACCCAGGCTCCTCTCCAGCACCCGCCGGGTGGGTGACAGACCCAAACAGGAGCTGGCCCCCACCTCCCGAGGGCTGCCTGGTTTCCTGTGCCCCCCCTTGGAAGGGCAGAGCCAAGCCAGCAGCACCAAGCCCTGGAAGCTGAGGCCACTACACCCCCTTCTACCAGGAAAAAACATGTTTTCTCCAGGTGAAAACATGAGGTCAGCTCCTCCAGACACCCACCGAACCCACCTCCTGGTCAACACCACCACTCCCAGCAGCTTTTTCCCCCTCGCTGCTGGGGCACCCAGCCCCTCACCCTGGCAGAACTCAGCCCCTCCAGCCCCACCAACACCCTCTTCCCAGCAGGCAGGAGTTAAGCCAGGGTTCCAAAAACAGCTGGAAGAATGTCAAGGGCAACCATAAAGCTGTTAGTCACACCCCAATTACACCAGTCTTACAAGGACACTGGTTATCCCCCTCATCTCCAGTGCCTTAAGTGCCCCAGACTGCCCAAGAAATTTATATGCAAGACCACACACGACTCCAGGAAGGCTGCCTGGACTTTTCAGAAGGCAGAAAACTCAGGATTGCTCTTTTGGATGTCTTTCAATAGATTTTTTTGGGTGTTTTTTTTGGGTTATTTTTTGTTTTTGCTACGGGGAAAAAGGATTTCATCAGCTTAGAGCTTTAAACTTGTGATCTGCCTCTGCCAGGCCAAAGATTGATCAGCAGGTATGCAGAGGATTAAAGGTTACCCTGGTTAACAGGCAGGTTGTCTCCTTGCCACCTCCTCTCCTCTCTTCAAGAGGGAAATGAGGCTGGTTTAATGAATCACCCTCTGTCCTGGGTGCTTCAGGAAGAGATCACCCTGCTCAGAAACCCAACTGCCAGCACCACAACTGCTCCAAGGGGGATTTTGGGGGTCCTGGAAGGTGGGAGGGGAGGGGTGGGGGTGGAGGGGGCAGCTTTGTGTTGCTGCTGCAGGTTAGGAAGCCTCAGGGTCCAGCTCGGTGCAGTCCCAGTGACTCAGGGTTTGCAGAGCAGCTTAAGCTGAGGATTCCTGCTAATTACAGCCCCGGGGCTAATGAGATCTCCCGCTGGGAAAAGAAGTCGGTTAGTCCGAGCTGCCCTTCCCTCAAAGGGCTGCAAAGAGAGGTGTTACTCACGTTCAATTTTCTTCTTCATCCTCGGACATACAAAGAACCAGACGACGAGAGCACAGAGAACAGCACTCCCCGCCGAAATGAGGAGGATACCCCACAGAGGAAGTTTGTCAAAGCCCAGCACTAGGAAATAAAACAATGGGATCTTTGAAAAAAAACCACCTCGGGGCAAAAATAAAACCACCACCTCGACGGATGATTTTGCTTTTTCTTGCAGGGGACTCCATCACCTGCAAGATCCCTGAGCCAATTCGCCTGCCAGGGAGAAATGCTGTTGGGGGGAAAAACCATCCTGGAGCTCACAGAACCCCAGAGCTTGACCCACACAGCCACACATCCACCCCCCAGGTCACCATCTCCCCGTGAAAAACTGATCTGCCAGGCGTGCAGACCTTCCCCTCCCTCCTGCAGCCAAACTCCTCACAGCCCTTGTCTCCTCACTTGCTGCAATGTCAAAGGAAAAAAAAAAAAGAAGAACACAACACACCAAACCACCACGCAGCAGGGCTGCTGCAGTGCCAGCAGCTTCCCCAGGCAGGGAGAGGACACACAGGACCTGGATTTGCTCCCACCACAGCTCCATTAACTCCTCTCCAGCTGCTGGGGGGGGGAAAAAGACTTTTCTCCTGCTCCACCGAGTCCCTAGCAGCTAAAGCTCAAGTCTCAAAGCATCTGAGGTGTTACGTGACCCAGTTCTAAGGATTCTTGCACACAGGGTGACTTTTAGCAGAGCCTGCTGTGAACCCTCAGCCAGGGGTTGCTTGGGACCACTCCTGGATCATCTTCTGCTCCAGGCAATAACCTGCTGCTCCTACAGCACACCAGCAACATCACAGCCACTTTGCCCACGCCTTGGGCTCTTTGCTTAGGCCAAGCCTGGCTCATTGAGGCCACAAACCTTGCCTGTGAGGAGCACGGAGCTCCCCCAGCCCTCCTGCAGCTGAGGGCTTGGGAGAGACAAAGCCTGGGGTGATAAAACGACCTGGGAGCAGCTCTGGGGCTTTGCAGCTCCAGCATCCCCCCCACCCCTCTCTCCCAGGGCTGGAAAACCAAGCTGGAAAGCTGACAGCCCTCCAAAAACATTTTCCAGCTACTGTTTACAGAGAAAGAACCCTCCGGAGGCAGCGGCGACTGCCCTGACCCCACCTGCAACGACTCCTCCACAACAGGAAACCCACACTCAGACCAAAAACAGCTCACGCCGAGTCACCCCGGCACAGGGAGGTGACAGAGCCAAAGCCAAGCCCTCTCCTGAACCCTGCCTGCGACCTGGCCCCCTACACAGCAGCCAAAAAGCTCCTTTGGCCTTTCAAACTGAAGGATAAACTCTCTCAGCACAGGTGCCAGCTCTTCTTGCCAAGGAGAATTCCTTCATTCCTAGGGAGAAGGTGAGGGAGGAGGCACAACCTCCATCCCTGCTCCTCTTAGGCAGCAGCTGGAATACCTGAGTTTTAATACAGGTAAAAGAACCCCAGGGGGGAAAAACTCATGTTATCTGCCAGTCCTGGGAAGTCTAAGGAGAAAGGTCTGGAGGGGTTTAAAGTTTGAGCAGGTCTCTTTGGTTGGGCAACTATCTAGCCCAGAGCTCAGCTCAGCCTGCAGCCTTCTGTAACGGGCACAGGCCAGCCGCCTTCTAGGAGATTTCAGGCCTGTAAAGCAAAAAAGGGGTAAAATCGTGCGTTTAATGGAGGTTTTGTGAAGGATGCCCAAAGCCAGGATGAGCTGTGGTGGTGGGTACTCACGGGGGGCGCCGGTGTACATGATGGAGAAGAGGTTGATCCCCACGGTGCAGGCGTAGAAGACGGGCAGAGCTCGCAAGCCGTTGGGAACTGGGTCTGCCTGTTGAAAACCAAGGTCAGAAACCACAACCTGAGGGCTCTGCAGCAGCCCAGGAGGCAAAGATCCCCTTGGCAAAAGGTGACCTGGGTGTTTGGGCTGCTGCTGACCAAGGCAGAGTGGCCACAAAGTGGTTTAGAGAAGGACCCCCCCGGGGTTGT